GTGTGTGTGTGTGTGTGTGTGTGTGTGTGTACGTACGTACCTGGGAGCTTGTCTTTTGTCTCTGTTATCCACACATGACAGAAAACATGGCCTTTTGTCCTTCTGGGTCTGGCTTACTTCACTTAGTATCATTTTTTTCCCAGATCCACCCTTTTCCTGGGAAATGATATAATTTGATTGTTCTACCCCACATTTTATTGACCTGTCTTCTGTTGTAGGGCACCCGACTATTTCCATTACTTGGCTATGGTAAATATTGCTGTAGTGAACATGAATATTCAGATTTTTTTTTTTTGGTCCGGTTGTGGGGCCTGAACTCTGGGCCTGGGCGCTGTTCCTCAGCTCTTCAGCTCAAGGCTAGTGCTCTACCACTTGAGCCACAGCACTACTTCCGGCTTTTTTCTTTTTGCTTATGTGGTGCTGAGGAATCGAACCCAGGGCCTCATGCATGCAAGGCAAGCGTTCTACCACTGAGCCAACTTCCCAGCCCTGAATATTCAGATTTTTTTTCAGAGATCCTGGAGCTTGAACGTGGCCCTGGGCGCTATCCCTGAGCTTTTGTGTTCTTGGCTGTTGCTATAGAATGTGAGCCTCAACTGCCAGGTTTTTGATGGTTAATTGGAGATAAGAGTCTCATGGACTTTCATGTCCTGGCTGGTTTCAATCCTTAGATCTCAGCCTCCATTTCCTTTATTATTATTTTTTATTTTTTTTGGGTCCAGTCGTGGGGCCTGAACTCTGGGCCTGGGCACTGTCCCTCAGCTCTTCAGCTCAAGGCGAGCGCTCTACCACTTGAGCCACAGTGCCACTTCCGGCTTTTTTCTTTTTGCTTATGTGGTGCTGAGGAATCAAACCCAGGGCCTCAGGCATGCAAGGCGAGCGCTCCACCACTGAGCCACCTTCCCAGCCCTCCATTTCCTTTATGATCAGGGATGCTAACCATTTCTTCATGTGTTTATTAGCTCTTTAAACTTCTCCAGAAGTACCTGTTCAGCTCTTTTGCCCGTTTGTTACCTGGGTTATTGATTCCTTGGGGTTTTAGTTTTTACTTTTATTTTTTTTAATTTTTTGTTGTCTTTTTTGATACTAGGGATCAAACCCAGGATGTTGCCCTTATTAGGCAAGGTCTTTTGTGCTCAGGAGCCTTGTATCTTAATGCAGTTCAATTTGTCAATTCTTCTATTTGCTGAGCCCCTAGAATTATTTTCAGGAAGTTTCTGCCATGCTGACAAGTTGGCCTATTTTCCCTACTCCTCTTCGTTGTAGTCGCAAGGTTTCAGGCCTGACAGGCATGTATTTGATCCACTTTGAGTTGATACAGCATGAGGGACAGGGGTCCAGTTTAAGTCGGCCTGTGGATGTCCAGTTCTGGTGTTGTCTGGTGAAGAGGTCTTCTTTCTCCAATGTGTGTTTCCTGTTTCTTTGTCAAATAGCAGTTGGCTGTGATGCATGTTCTTATTTTCGGGTCTTCTGATCTGTCCCATTGGTCTTAGGATCTGCTTTTGGGCAGCTACCAAGCCAATTTTTTTGTTATGGCTTTATAGTATAATGAAGTCTGGTATTGGAAGACCACCAGCATTGGCATTGTTGTTCAGGATTGCTCTGGCTGCTCAAGAATAGCTTGCCATGTGAGTTTTAAGATCTCTGTGAGGATCAAGAATAGCTTGCCATGTGAGTTTTAAGATCTCTGTGAGGACTGATGTTGGGATTTCGATAGATACTGTGTTACATTTGTAGATGACCTTGGCAGTGTGATGTGTTCTTGATAATGATTCTCCTAAACTGGCCATCTCTGTCTTCTGTGGTCTCTTTTCTTCCACACATTGCAGGCATGTCTGTTTATCTGTGTGTGTTAGTACTGCATGGTTGCACTCATCCTTGCCTGTTTTTTTTTTTTTTTTTTTGGTCAGTCGTGGGGCTTGAACTCTGGGCCTGAGTGCTATCCCTCAGCTCTTCAGCTCAAGGCTAGCGCCCTACCACTTGAGCTACAGTGCCACTTTTGGTTTTTCTGGTGGTTTATTGGAGATAAGACTCTTCATAGAGTTTCCTGCCCCGGCTGGCTTTGAACCGCGATCCTCAGATCTCAGCCTCCTGAGTAGCTAGTATTACAAGGCGTGAGCCACCAGCGCCCGACTTCATCCTTGGCTTTTGTACTCGACTGGCGCTCTGCCACTTCATTCACAGTTCCATTTCCAGCTTTTGATGATTAATTGGAGATAAGAGTCTCATGGACTTTCCTTCTCAGGCTGGCTTTGGACCTTGATCATTGGAGCTCAGAAGGATTTCAGGTGTGAGCCAGTGCACAGCTTTATGGTTTTCTTTTGAGGTTCTTTCCTCCTTTGTTGGGTTTATTGTTAGATAGGAATGAATGAGCATTTTATTTCTTAATCTCTTTCTTAAGCTAGGAACTTTCCTTGGCAGGTCCCAGGTTTGAACTTGAACTTTGCTCAGTCCATGTTCCACCTCTTAGGCCTGTGCCTTCAGTCTGGCTTTTGGCTAGTTATTTTGGAGATGGAGTCTAGTGTGCTTTGTTCCTGGGCTGGCCTCAAACCTTAGTCCTCAATATTCAGCTGCTGGAGGAGCTAGGATTCCAGGCATGCTGGGCAGCAAGGTTCTTCTGTGGGCCCGTGTCAGGTCCAGCCCAGGGGCCCTGGCCTGCCAGGATGCGCTTGGTGCCATGCCAAGGGAGGAGCCTGTGCCGCGGGAGGCAGTGCAGGCTGCTGTGGGAGTTGGTGGCCTCACTGTCCTGCTCATTCCCTGCCAGATCTGCCAGGCGTGGGTGACGGAAATAGAAAGTGGTCCCCACTTCTGGAGAGAGGAGCTCTCTCCACCCCGACTCGGGTGGCCCAGCTGAGAAGGCCCTGGGCAGGGGCAGAGGTGAGGCCAAGCCGTACACAGCCGGGTAGGAGCGCACGAGCGCACACCTGCTGGTCAGGGTCGCCACCCAGTGACACGCAGGCCGCTGCGGTCCCGCGGTCGGGCGCAGGGCAGCTGGCCTGCCCTCGTGGCCAGCCGTGGGACGCATGTGGGCACTGTGTGTCCCCAGCGGTCTCCTCCCTGTCTGTCCGTGTGCACAGGAGGCTCTGCTGACCACCATGGACATCACGCACGATGGGTTTGGGTTCATGCTGGCATTTGGAGATCTGGTATGGGTTCCGTTCACCTACAGCCTCCAGGCCTTCTACCTGGTCCGCCACCCCCAGGACCTGTCGTGGCCTGTGGCCGCGCTCTCCACCGCCCTGAAACGTGAGTGTTGCGAATGGAGCTGCCTGCCTGCCTGCCTGTCGCGGCCATTCCCACTGGTCACAGCTCAGGCTGGAAGTCCTTTCATGGGCAAGGTGGGATGGTGGGGGAAAGGAGGGGGGGAGAGCAGGGGTGGGAGGGGAGGGAGGAGGGGGAGAAAGGGAAGGGGGAAGGGGGGAAGGGGCAGGGGAGGAGGGGAGGAGAACAGCTCTGATTTTGCCCAGTTGAGGGTATTTTTTCCTTACTCCTTGGTCATTAAGCTGACCAGAAGTAGGGGAGGGGAGTTGGTATGTGACATGGAAGGAATGCAGAGCCATTGGGTGAATATGATCTCACCCGGGGCTGACCTGTCTGTGTGCGTGTGTGTCCTTCTGTCTAGTGAGTAGTGGCCAGCACAGGCCTTTGTTTACTCTGGACTCCGAAGACAGTCGTAAAAGTTGTGCCAGGCCTGCTGGTCGTAAAGTGTCGTGCCAGGCCTACTGGTTTGGGCATTTTATTTTATTGGTGACGGGCTGCTCTGCTAAGACGAGTGCTCTAGCACTTCGTGAGCCGTGGCGCCACCTCTGGTTTTCTAGTGGTTCATTGGAGATCAAGACTTTCCTGCCTGGGCTGGCTTTGAACCGTGATCCTCAGATCTCAGACTCCTGAGCAGTTTAGGGTAACAGTCATGAGCCAGTGGCCACCCAGCTGATTTTGGCATTATTAACCCAAGTGCCGCTCCCAGCATAGCCTGCAGCTGGGCCCGCGCGGCCTTCCTGGTGGGGCTGCTATCTCACTCTGCCTCACCTGTGGGTTTGAGCCGTGGTGGACGATGATGCAGACCTCAGACACCACCTCTGTCAGGGGGTGTCTTTGCCTTCCACCCAACCACTGAGAAGAGGAGACTGTGAGGCCCGTCCTCTGGTCCTGGCCGAGGCAGCGGGGGTGTGCAGGAAGGAAAGAACCCTCCAGACAGCCAAATAGGGCTAGGAGCGTGGCTGAAGAGGTGGAGCGCCTTCCCGCCTAGCCGGTGTGAGGCCTGAGTCCCCGCCTCAGTGCAGTGCCCCCAAATACTGTTTGACATTGTAAACCGAGAATGTTCATTTTTATTTTTTGTCAGTCGTGGGGCCTGAACTCTGACCTGGACACTGTCCCTCAGCTCTTCAGCTCAAGGCGAGCGCTCTACCACTTGAGCCCACTTCCAAAAGAATGTTTTTTTTGTTTTTAAAAGATCACATTATTCTCATCAGGACATTTCCTCAGAACCCAGAAATGATTTGTAAGAGAAATTCTAGATGATTTTTAGCGTTAGACTATCTAAATTATTAACAGAAATATGACTTAACATTTCAGTTTGTGGATATGTAATCTTCCGATGTGCAAATTCTCAGAAAAATGCATTCCGGAAAAATCCCATGGACCCAAAGCTTGCGCGTGAGTTCTGATTTCTGTTTCTGATGTGGGGGTTTAAGTCTCTTTCTTAGAGGTCATTAAGTGTGCCTTTGTTTCTGTGTAGATTTAAAAACGATTCAGACTTCTACTGGGAAGAGCCTGCTGGTGTCCGGATGGTGGGGCCTCGTCCGCCACCCCAATTACCTGGGCGACCTGGTCATGGCACTGGCCTGGTCCCTGCCCTGCGGTAAGCGGGCCGCACTCCTGGGGCCCAGCGTGGTGTGCACTGTGTGCACCGTGTGCTCGTCCTTCTCCACCTGCTGCGGGGGGCAGGGGGCTGGGAGGGTCCCCTGTAAGGGGGGGTCGAGGCAGGAGAGAAGCACAGGTCTAGTAGACATCTGTCCCCTGCGTGCAGGCTTTGGTCACCTTCTGCCCTACTTCTACGTCATCTACTTTACGGCGTTGCTGGTCCACCGCGAGGCCCGGGACGAGCAGCACTGCCGGAGGAAGTACGGCCTGGCCTGGGAGCAGTACTGCCAGCGGGTGCCCTACCGCCTCCTCCCCTACGTGTACTGAGCCTGCACCCCCTCCCCCAAGGAGAGTCCCTAGGACTCTGTGTGCACTGGCGGGCTGTGAGTTTGTCGTCTTTTTGAGCTGGGACCATAGATGCAGAGTAGGTCTTCTAATGTAGTCGGGTTCACTGTGTTCGTATTAAAGTTTTACCCGTTCACCTAAGGAACAAATACAAATGAAGAATCTAGCATTTACCGGGGGGGAGGGGAGGGCGGGGGGGAGTAGAGACCCCCGCCCCAGGCTCCCACCCAAAAGGATGCTCTTGATGTGTATAGTTTCATTTCCTTCCAAGCTGCGTTCTTTGCTTTTGCTTTTTTTTTTTTTTTGCCTGTTGATTTTTTTAAAGATGAAAACAGTGTTGTGTTAAAATACACTTATGGTTCAGTGCATTAAAATAGAATTTTGGGCTTGGTAGAATGCCTGCCAGGCAGGCAAAGTCCTGACCGTCCCTCCCCAGCAAGGACAGCACTTCCCCATGGGGGCAGCGAGGACCGGTGTGATCTCAGCACTTGGGAGGCTCAAGAGCGCAAGGCCCGGCTACACCGTGGAGAAGCCCCGTCTCAAACCCAGGGAAGGAAATGGGGTTCTTATTCTTGTGGAAGGCATTTGTTATGTGATACAAATAAACCCGATGCACGCGTTCAGTGCTGTGCGGAGTGAGAGCAGGGACCGGCAATGCTGGGAGGAAATGTAAATAGAAAGCTCGCTTCTACGTGATACGGAAGGTGGCTTCAGATTTCGGAATGTCAGGGAATGTCAGGATGTGGAGCTGGGTAGCAAAGGACATTTTCAGGGGTTTACACTTTGTAGAGTAATGTGAATTTAAAAATTTTGAAACAATTAGAATTCTTTTCCTATTGTACAGAAGACACTGTTAAAATGTAGGAGAGGTATTTTTTTTAATCCAGAACTTGTGAATTTGGCTTTGCTACCTCAATTTGCAGATGTGTGTTGGCCTTTATAAACCATTGCAGATAGAAAATATATTTTTGAGGAACATCACTATTTAAGCATTTTTACACATTGGTATTTGAAAATTTGCCACTTTGGGCTAGTATTTTTATACGTTTTTGAGTTTTCAACTTGGCAGCATTTTTGCTCACTGTTCCGCACATTTATGCTGTGCATTTTGTACATCTTTTGTGTCTACAAAACTTTACTCCCAGTAGGCGTTCTGTCTAGAGAGCACAGAGCACACAGGGCTGCTTTCTCGTGGCTTAGCTTCAGCCTGTCGGTGCCTGGGCCTGAGTTCCACGTGGACACACGCGCCACCCACTTGTGCACTGTTGGGGCAGCGACTGGCTGCACTCCACGTCCCTGGCTGCGGTGTGCCGGCGTTGGTACTGGTACCCGAGAGTCGGCTTGTTTCTCGCACTTGTCCCTGCCGTCTGTGTGTGCTATGCCCGTGCGGGGGGGGGGGGGGGGGGGGGGTGAGGATGGACGGTTACGCCACCTGCATGGATGGCTCGCGTTCGCCTCTGGGAGCAGCTCGTTTGTTTTTAATTTTGTCTATAGCAGGTTTGTTTGATAAGCTTTGTAATGAGGTTTTAATTTTAAGCTGTAGATTAAGTTGAAAAAAATCTTAGAAAATAAAGATGTTGCTTTGGTTGTCTTGCAGCCTCGTTTGTCTTTTGGGCAAGAACTCTTGGTACCAAGACACATCCCCCGCCCCGTGTTTTCTGGGAACATTATTGGGGGTCTTCATTTGCCCCTGGCCAGCAAGGTAGAGCTTGAAAGGAGGTAGAGAGAGGAGGGCGGGGCACGTGTGTGCGGAGACAAGGGAATGAGGGCCTTGCAGACACGGTGCGCACACACCCACCTCCCGGGGCCTGTGCAGACTCGGTGCGCACACACCCACCTCCCGGGGCCAGACTCGGTGCGCACACACCCACCTCCCGGGGCCTGTGCAGACTCGGTGCGCACACACCCACCTCCCGGGGCCTGTGCAGACTCGGTGCGCACACACCCACCTCCCGGGGCCTGTGCAGACTCGGTGCGCACACACCCACCTCCCCGGGCCGTGCAGACTCAGCGCGCACACACCCACCTCCCGGGGCCTGTGCAGACTCGGCGCACACACCCACCTCCCCGGGCCGTGCAGACTGGGCGCGCACACACCCACCTCCCCGGGGCCTGTGCAGACTCAGCACACACCCACCTCCCGGGGCCTGTGCAGACTCAGCACACACCCACCCACCCACCCACCTCCTCACACTCGAGAGCCGGGCTGAGGAGTCTGCAGTCGGCCTGGCACTCAGCGCAGCGGCCGGGACTGTCTGTGAGGATGTGTCCTCTCCTGTTCCTCCGTGGCCAGGTGCATGTGCCCCCAGCGGTGGGGGTGTGCCGCTCCCTGCGCTCCTGCACTAGCAGGACTCGGCGCACATCTGGTTCCTCTGTTTGAGACAAAGCCTGGTGATGGTGGTCACAGAGCTCGGGCTGTTGGCCTACCATGGATGAATTTTTTTTTTTTAATTGTAAAGATACTATAAAGAGGGTTACAGTTACTTGAGTGAGGTAATGAGTACACTTCCTCTTGAACATTGTTAGCCCCTCCATTGTTTTCCCCCTACCAACCCCTCCCTCCCTCCCTTCCCCAAAGTTCTTTTTCTTTTATTGTGATTAAGTGATTACATAATTTCCGGAATTTCACAGTATTGTAGAATAATGATGCTCATTTAAAGTCACAAGTTCATTCTAACTTTCCTGGAGCAAATTGTCTATCACAGTCTGTAATATATAACAGTGTTCACATGTTATACACCATACATGTGATCAGCAGCATGGGGATATTTAGTAGTGGTTCAACCAGATGACCAGGAGTTCTTTGTTTCTTAAGTCCTGTTAGTTTTGTCGTATCACCAAACATTTTGGATTTAGCATCCACTTATCAAGGAGACCATGTACCATTTGTCTCTTCGCTCTTGGCTTACCTTGCTCAACATGATTCCTTCTAGCTCCATCCATTTCCCTGCAAATGCCATTATTTTGTCATTTCTAATG